TTTAATTGATTATTTTTAAAATATAATAAACTTTGAAAATGAAAAAAATGAAAATAATAATATAAATAATTAAAAAAATATAAATATAATATAAATAATATTTATATTCATCATAGCAAAATAATATATAAAAACATAAAATTGATATTAATAATATTATTAGATAATTAATATTCTTTAATTGTATTATAATAACTATACATATAAGTAATTAATTATACAAATAATTTGAAAAAATTAAATTATATATTTTTATTAATCTTGAAATAAATAATATTGAAATTAAAATAAAAAGCTATATTAATAATATAGCTTTAAAAAGATACATATTTATTATTAAAAATAACTATTAAATATTAAAGATATTTTATCAGAAATTTCATTCATAAATAGTTAAATACATTTTTTGAGCATACTTCGAAATATATAAAATAACTATTAAATATTAAAAATATTTTATCAGAAATTTCACTCATAAATAGTTAAATACATTTTTTGAGCATACCTCGAAATATATACTATTTGATGCTAAAATCAGTTTATGAACACGTAGCTTCTGATCTTCACATACGAGTGTTACATCAACAAGTGCTTGACGTGCCAATAGTCCACTAAATTTTTCTGTAATATATTTTGGATGATCAGTCCATTGTAGGACACAACATTTAGCATTTTCAACCATTGTGTCTATAAATTTTGAAACAGAAAACTATTAGAATTATAATAAATTAAATAATATATAAAATCATAATTTTATAATATCTTAATCAACAAATTATATTATATTTCATAAATAATAATATTACATACCGAAATATGATTAAAATGTTAATCTTCCTCTATCAAGAGTAGTTTGAAAAAAAGCACTGAAACCTTTGATGAAATGTATGCAATCAATTTCGATTAATGATAAATAATGATATAGCGCCTTTATACATTCTCTAGTGACTTTCATGAAGCACCACCGGGAATGTCGGTTTATAAAATCACCGAGTTTACACAACATTTGCTCACTAACGTACTGAAATGTACAAAATTAGGACGTAAACGAAACTCAAAAATTAGCCATCTTACATTACGATATAGATATTTTAACCTACGAATATATTGTTTGACATAGAACAATGATGAGATAATCTTAAACAATTTCAAATTAATTTAGTGTGGTGCCATCTTACGTCTCTTAACAGAATATATAATCGTACATAATGAGTTATGAAATTATTTCAAAAATATTTATATTTTTATGTAAAATACATTATATATTTAATAATATTTATGTAATTCATATAGATCAAATATTCATAAATTTAATTTTAATAATAATAAAATTTAACATATTATTTATAATTAATTGAAAAAAAATAATTTAAAATTTAATTTAATTAAATTTTGGTTATAAATATAAATAAATGAAATAAAAAAATAAAAAAAAAAATTATTTTAACATTTGTTTATATTATATGTATAAACGATTAAAATTAATGAATTTAAAAATAATAAGTCATATTTAATCTATACAATTTATAATTCATAGTTTTAAGTTTAGTAAATTTGTAATATAATTAAAGGCATGTTCATACATTGTATATAATAAATTTTATTATATAATATGCTATCATATTTTATTATTATATTTAAAATTGCATTATAAAATATAAAGAAACATATTATATAAAAACAAATTTTTAAAAATTTAAAAATAATTTTTTTATTTATTACTTGTTGAAAAAAAAAAGATAAAAAAAGATTAAAAAATATTATAATGTAATATATTATCAATTAATTCAAATACAATATACTTATAAAACATTTGTATCGACTCTTTATCTTTACTGTTCTCATACCATATACTATTTACAATGTGTATGCTTTGAATTTGTCTTTTAATTTTATTATTTCAGCCTTAATAAAAATATATATAACAAGAAACATGAAGAGAATATTTCTAATGTAACTATGAGATGCAGAATATTACATGTGATATATTAATGGATTCATTTTGGTAAATAGATGATGAAATTAAAAGAATTAATAAATTATAACAAAAAATTGTTTTTATTTGTAAAACATTAAAAAAACATAAAACATTAAAAAATTAACCTTTATGTTTGTAGTTATGAATTAGTCATGAAGGTATGTATAATAGAAAATTGATACATTCTTATAGAAAAAAATATTATTAATTACCATATATTTCAAAGTTAATTACAAAAAATTAAAAAAAAAATTAAACGTAAAAAAAACTGTTCTAATTTGAATCATAAATTATTTCATACGCATATTATCTTGTCAGCTAAATATTTATTTGATTAATAAATAATAAAATTTGTTTATATTTTTAAAAATTATATTTTATATATATATAAATATATATAATAAAAATTAATTAAAAATAAAAAAAAAAAAACCAATTGGATTTTAATTATTGATAAAATTGAAAAAAATTGATTTAGCATGAATAATAATCTAAAAGATTGATTTAACAGAAAATCTTATTTTTTTCATATATATATATTTTATAAAATTAAGAGTATATTATTATAGTTAAATATGTAACTAATTTACGTAACTAATTTATTATATTACGTAATTAATTTATGTAACTAATTTTATAAAATACAATATATTATATATTTTATTATTTGCAGGTCCTAATAATATCTTAAATATAAATATAATAAATAATATTTTAAATATATCAAACATTTCATGAAGAAATAAAGAAAAATATATTTAAGTATACTTTAATTTTTATTTCATTTGATGTTATAAAATTTTATTTTACAATGTTTTAATTGTTTATAAATTATATTTTTATTCATAATTATTTTCATTAATTTTTCATTATATTAATGAATATGAATGTGGTATAATAATATGAATGAATGATATGAAGTCTCTTATTTGCTTTTTATAATATAATATATGTATTTTATAATATAATATATGTATGTATTTAAATATAATATATGTATTTTATCTTAAAAAAATTTTGTAATATAGTTTAGACAAATAATAAATTTCAATATTTTATGCTTTATGTTATATTGAAGTATTTTTGCATTATATTAATATGAAAAAATTGACAAATTATTTGTAAATATATACAGCTAAAACTTTGCAT